AAATCTAATTGGAAGTACCATAGTGTTGGAGATACTTTTCTATTATACCTATCGGTGAGAGGAAAAGAACATCAAACTCAAAAATAACAGCTATTTCCTTAAAATAATGTTTTCATAGTTGTACAAAGCTCAGCCTCCCCATGCCCTTTGCTTGGAGATACACAGCCATACATCAGACTAGTGCTCCAAGACACCAAACAGAGCTGGATGCTGATGGGGCTGAGGGACCACACTTCGTCTGCCCTGCTCACGCAGCAGGCCGGCTGCCACACACTGCACTCCCACTGAGCAGGTGAGTGAGATTTCCCCAGCACCCCTCTGTGGGAAGAAAGCTATTGGCTCTGTGACTTTCATTATTTAGAATTTATGATACTATTACCTCATGGTTCTAGGTGCTGTAAATCTGAAACAAAGGGGTATCTTTTCTCTGTGTTTTCATAAATGATGACAGTCAATTTAAATGTATATTTTTTGCAACTGATTTAGTGTGCCTTAAGATTTTTTCCAGCTGCTCCAAGATCTTTCAGTATGTTTTGAGCTTCCACAGCTTGACTTTCTACCCTTCCGTACTAATGCATAAATAAGCCTGTTAGTAATCTATTTAGGGAGCTCAGTTTTAGGCAGATTTGTATCCAAAGAATGTCTTTCAAGATCTTTAGCAACCCTGATTCTAGGTCACTGAAATTAGTTCCTTATGACTAAGCTGAAAACAGTGATTTATTCATGCTCTAACTCTCCCTTTGGGTTTTTTTAAAGTTGGCTCAAAACTAGTTTTGAGTGTTAAACTTCTCAGAGCAACCTCTTCTGCTGCAGTTTGAATCAGAAATACTAAAGATTTCAATAGCTCTACTAGCTTAGATAACATTTGTGTGTCTGAACAGAGTCGACAACATGCAAGTGTCTCCAATAACAGGCCCAATTAGCAGGAAGGAATGTGACACAAAATCCCAGACTGTGATACTACCTGTCAACCATGGTTACTGCTGCCTGTAGAAAAAAAGAGAGAGAGTGTTAAAGACAGAAAAGATGTATTTCTTGCATTAGTCTACATCATGCTGTTCACCTGTCTTAACATGAATTGTCCCAAATGCAGCCCTTAGAGTGAACTAATTGGTTCTCACCCAGGTCTAAGAATAAAGCCATGCCTAACTGTCCATTCAAATGGCCAGATCTTGGCTGAACTGACAGTAAGATAACGTGCAGTATCAGGCAGTGACCAGTGTCTACCCATCTAGACTCTAGACTGTCTCCTTCCTCAAGTGTCCAAAGTGCCAACAGATCCTTCACAAACAAAAACCAACAACAGCTGGAGAAAATAACTTAGTGAAATTATCTGCATTGGAGGGAGTCCGAGCAGTGCATGGTACTGGAAGGCAGACATACCGTCCCTGGAGAAACCTAAGCAGCTGAGAGCTCACAACCAAGAGCTATTCACTTCTTGGTGAATAATAGTTCGCAGGGGTGATGTAAAACTGCTTATGAGCTAAGGAGAAAATAAGGTTATTCCACAGATGCAGAGGAACGGGAAAAGTCAGCTTATGTGGAGAACTCAGCAGGTTGTAGTGACACAGCAAGCTGATCCGTTGGAGCAGACTGGAGGTGTTAGGAGATTTGTTTGCTGTCCGGTTCAGAAGTTACTGCGGCTATGCTACAGAAATGCTCCCACCCACCTGAGTCACAGAATGGCTCAGATTAGAGCAATCACTCATCAGCAGTGAAAATTATCTTTTTTTTCCAATTATTTTTCTATTTGATAAAGAAAAATAACTTCTCGACACCTCCTCAGCAGTGGGATTCATCCATCACTTTGCAGGACCTCCTGATGTATTTAGTTTGGAGCCTCCTGTTCCGCTGAACTTTCCAACAAAATGAGCAAGAAAGTGGTTGGATCAGCCTGCCTGCTGTGAGCCCAGAATAGAGCAAGAGAGCTGAGCCTGCATGAGGCAATGAACACTAAGTGCTTCCAGAGTTTCCTGAGATAAGCTTTTTAGAGAGAGATCTTCTCTCTGAACCCCAGTGAGACTCAAAGATCATTAGGCATCCAAGTTACAAATTTCTGCTGCTGTTTCTGCATTTTGGCCTCATCATGTTGCCCCACTAAGTTAATGCCACCATGCCAAGCACCTGGAGCAGTGGCAGCACCATGGACCAAGCACCTCAAATGCCCTCTAGAAATGCTGAGACTTCCCAGCTGGGGACTATTTGCAAGCAGCAAAGAACATTTAGAAGGGGCCTTGCCAGTTAACACTCTTTACCTTCATAAAATTGGCTTTGTCATTTTCCAGGTAAAGCTTCTGGGTGGTGTCTGTCAGCTCCTTGCAGGTGTCAAGATGTTCCCCACAACTGACCAGCTGCCCATATAAAGCTTCCAGCTTCTGCCTCTTCTCTTCCCCCAGTGCTTCCAACTGTTCTTCATACTTCTGAGCAAGCACTTGCACTGCATCATTGTAATGCACCTCGAAGTTCTGCTCCTGCCTCCCAAAGTTTTCCTGCAAGGCATTTGGGGATTTATTCCTTGGTGTCAGGCCTGATCCATAGCTCAGCCAGAGAAAAATCTTATTCAGATCTGCCTAAAATTCTCCTTGCCAGGGAGTCAATGCCAGTACACAGAAGCTGTAATTTGAGTAATTTGCATTTTTTAGGGGGTTATTCTAATCATTCACCCCCACTGAGGCACAAGAGAGTGTTGGATTTGGTTCCAGGCATAAGAAGAGCATCAGAAGTTATAATAAAAACAATGATGCAAGTCAACCGTCTCCAACCTAAGCCCAGGGAGCACAACTAGGGATATATCTTAGCCATAATCTCACAAGTGTTTCCACCAACACAGTCAAGCACATCTTTCCATAAAAGAAACCATAGCAACCCAGTGGGATCCATGGCTTCGTGCTGGGGGAGCTGAGCAGCTAATGCTGGTATCCTCACTCACTGCTGGAGAAAGCATTAGGAAGGAAGATTTAAGGGGCAGGCAAGGCTTTATTGCCAGGCACCGATGTCCTTCCGTGCCATGTGCAGCAAAGAAAAGACAGTAGGTGCCCTGAGTTACTGCTTCAGTCTGACTTGCTGCCAGCTGGGCCCCTTCCCCCAAGGCCAAGCTGACATCAGGCAAGCAGGAGCACAACCCTCGAAGTGCTGTAGCTTGATGCAGCTGGTCCAAGGGTTTGCCTGTATCTGGTACTTCTGTGAATGGAACCCAGTGAACACAAGGTGCACACTCTGGATGGACAAGTTAGATCACAGGTCTTTGGTCATTTAAAACTAAGATAACCTGAGTGAAGGTCACTTATTTCTGAATGCAAGTGTCTGTGCAAATGCTTAATGTGGTTTTACTAGCCCACTTAAAAAATTCATTAGGATTAATTTTCCTGAGTACCTTAGTCTAGGCAACCCCAAGATAACTCTGTGCTCTGTTACCATAATTACCTCATTAACAACTGAAGAACTGTCAAAACTGTTCTAACCCCAGTACCACAAAGTTAGCCTAAGAAAAAATGCCTTACCTCTACCGTGATGAAGATTTCCTCCAAGTGACTGGCAAAGTTTTCCATCTGAGCAATCTGCTCTTCCAGCTTGCACATATTTTTATGAATCTCCTCCTACCAAAACACCCAGTGTGATTCTTAGTATGTCTGAACACTGTTTTTGAGGCACCACAGTACACTTATATTACTCTTACCTTTTCACTTTCCACAGCACTGGGGAGCTGAGCCACCTCATGATCCTTGTGCTCACCAAACAGTTTGTCAAAAGCTCGGATTGGCATCTTGCAGGTAGAGCAAAAAACATCTGCTGCTTCCTCCTCCTCACTAACAGCTTGACTGCTCCACTCATCTGACACGCCGCCACTGCTAAGCTCCTCTCTGGACCATGCATGGCTCTCAGCCTCATCCTCTGCTCTGGCTTTGCTCTGATCTTCATCTTGAGCAGCCTTGCCCTGTTGCTTTGTGCTTTGACTTTGATCTTTCACTGGCGAGCTGCGTTTTGATGCATTACATATGGAGCTTTGTGATCCTGCTTTTTCTGTGCGAGCAGGTGGCCATCTGCTCTCCACCATCTCCAGATGTCCTCCAAGAAGCTCAAGCTCTTTTTCTCTATCCTCATCGAGTCCATACATCTTAGCCAACTCTGCAACCTCCTTTTCCAAATCATATCCAGCTTCTTGTGAGCGCTGAAATTTTTTGCTACTCAATGCAGATTCCCTTCTGGTATCCCCAAGAGATCTGTCTCCTTGACCAGATGGCTCTTCAGGAAAGATATCAAACCTCTCCTTTGATCCATAAAGATCCATGTGATAAAATATCAAGCCTTCAGCCTCAGTCTCATTAGACTCTGGGACTGGTGGGGAAGCTGAACGACTAAGCAACTGGTCACTAGTTTCATACTCTCTTGCACTGCCAGATCTGGATGACATTGGTATCCTCAGTGAGGCTTTTGAGACAATGAGTCTCAAACCTGTAAAAGATAAGAAAGACCTTTAGCTACATACTTAGATATCAAACATGAATTTTCTTGCTTAAAAACATATTGATGGAATATGTTTGGCTGAGGACTGCTCAGGGCCTGGAGGCAGGCACGGGAAAGATCAAAGCTTCTGAGGTGAAGCCACAGAAGGCTTGTTTTTTCTCACCTCTGTCCAAAGCACAGCAGAGAGCTGGTCTCTGGTGTGCATCCTATGTTTTCTGAGTGGCTCAGCTGATGTTTGATTCCCAAACTGTGGAATAGTCCTGTCCCCAGCTCAACACTGCAACTGTGCTTCAGGTGCACTTAGCACTGTTCTGTGCAATTGGAGATGGCCTGGTTTGAAGTCTGCTCACTCTTCAGCTGCTGTCAAGTGCTCTTCCTGAACTGTCAGTCAGGCATACTGTAGGATGCCTTCTCTTGTGACCACTGACGCCACATAACACACTAGTAAATGCCCTGAAAAATCCTGTTCTGGATTTTTCAAATTGCCATTCTTGATACTGAAACTAGAGGTTTCTTTTAGCATTATTCTCAGTCCAGGTCTCGAGTCCTTTCTATTAAATAGGGAAAAATACTTCCATTTGGGGGGTTCTCAGGTGTTGTGAAAATATATAAACTCAGAAAAAAGATTGATGATGATTCCCATGATAAAGCTTACAGTAACTAGGAAGCAAGACAAGTTGTTGACCCCTGAACGGACAGAAGTCTGCTCTGATCTGGAGCTTGCACACTTTGTCCATTCTGTGTAATGTGGGAGGTGTGAAGAGCGTGTGGATGGGAAATGCAAAGCTGTATGATAAAGCAGATGCATGTGGGATAACATTAAAGGTGCAAGGGCAATTTTAATGCTGACTTCCCAAGCCCACTCTTTCCAACCAGCCCGTATTAACAACAGCAGATGAAATAATGCTAGTACAGAGAGACCACATGGTGCTTTGTCAGAGCTGCAACGTCCCTGCAGCCCTCCACTGTTCACCAGCACTAACAAAATCATGGCTACAAAACTACTCAGGTCAATTTTCTCAGCAGTTTACTACTATGATCAAAAGAGTTCATGGAAAGATTTCAGCTGAATATTAATGAACCTATAGTTACATCTAGTCCTAGCTCAGTGAAGCATGTGAAAACTTTAAAACCACTTTCTCACAGAAAAAAGCCAAAAGGTCAGTCAGACATCAAGGTTATGAGAGCTTCTGCAGAAGCTTTCACATAGCGTTGCTTTCAAACTACTTTTTATGCTCTTTGTAGTTTTGAGTACTTGCTATGACTTCAAATTTATTTCATCAAAATTTTACTAATATTCCTGAGGATTATTTAGCTAACAAAGTCAACACAGTCAGTGAATTACTAGAAAGCAACTTCTCAAAACAGTGAAAAACGCTAAGAAACTTCCAACTCCTTAGTTTTATATCAATGACTGAAAACAGTCCAGCCTACCAGATCTGCAACAAAACACACACAGAAGTTCACTGTTTCTCTTCTGGCACTGCAGATATGGGTGTGGATTCTACAGCTAGCAAAATCTTACTATAGACAAAAACACTGAAGTTAGGCAGAAATACTATTTATGCTAAAGGTGATAAAATAAATCATGCAAATTTTAACATATTAAACAGAGAAAAGGTCTTGACACATACCAGAAAATGTTGTCTGGCTCCCGCAAAGACTTTTTTCCCCATAATTATAACAATAAGGAAGGCTTCCTTTAGAAGCTACTACTAACTAGAAAAGTGAGTTAACAAATATTTTTCCTACCAAAATGAAATTAAATAACATAAATTAAAATGAGCATAATTAAGCTCATCTGGAACTCTGCTGCCTAAATAAGATTTTCAGATGATTGCTCAGTGTTTGCTCAGTTTACAGGAACAGATACAATTACAGTGAAGAATGTTTAAGTCCGTGACCATGAATTATCAAAAATATATAACAAAGAATGTTACTACCTAAAAACTTGCCTTCTATCTTAAGACGTCATAAATTCTTCTGATAGCTCAGATGGCATCAAACTTCACATTTATTTCCCCTAGTAAAAATTAATTCACACGAAAGCAATCCTCTGCCACTTTCCTATGACTGCAGTTGGAAGACTTGTTACCGTAATCCTAGACCGCCTCTTTGCTCAGGGGACATGCCAGCAATGAGCAATGGAACAAATATAGATGTGCCCTGGCTGTCCTTCAGCTGCGTGCTACTTGAGTGTCACCAGGATGAATGTCACACACCGAGAAAAGGCTCTAAAGGTTGATTGCTGGATCTGAAGTACTTGGAACAATTATACGGACCCCTTGCTAAAGCCAGAGCACCCTCTCACTTTCTGAGCTGGTATTAATAAACTTGGCAGAGTGCAGTCATTGACTCTAGGCGTGATTTCCAAGGCTGTGGTACTAGGCAGAGTATCGCCTGTGGGATACACAAAACGTGCACAAACTAACTCAAATGGCTGGATGCATACTTACAGCATTGCTGCATATTTAAATGGAAGTATCTGTTCTGTTCTTTGCAAAAGTTTAATGGCAAAGTCTTTCTCTCTATTAAATTAGCAGAAGCTTTACTATGGGGTTGAGTTGGAATCAAGATCAGACTCCAGAAAAAAAGAAATCATAATGTTGCATACACTTATTATACGTATACATACATCCCCACCCTATATGTGTATGCTAGACCACTGGAAAGCTAATTATAGTGAAGAAAGTGGCCAACGGCCCAGCGAGGGAGGATTTTCACAGGAACGTATCCCTTCAGTCTGTGCTCAGTAGTGGTTCACCTGATGAAAACCAGGCTGTATATTACCACTGATTATTGTGATTACTATAGCACTTGAGCTTTAGGTATCCACTCAAACCCACAGTTGTCCAGCATACATCATCTGTTTGTGAACACGCTACTGAGCCAGCCATGCTGGCAAGAGGTTTTTAAGCACGACTGAGAACATTGCATTATATACGTCTTGAGCTCCAGGGACAGCACGTGGGGAAATGTCTATTGGATCTTGACACAGCTCTGCTTTTTTCTCCTTTTCCAATTAAACTTGGTGTCATTTCCTCACGTTTCTAGCAGTGCACTTATTTGCTGTTTCAGTAAGGAATTACAAGTTAATTACCCATGTAGTCATGATCTCATTACTGCTGACAGTGCCTCTATCATCTGTGAGATCAGAGCAGAAACATTTTCACAGAAATGATGTAGCCTTTGCTGAAATGTTAACATTTATGCTGTCAGACAAATTTTATTAATTTTTCAAAATGAGAACTTATTTTTACCCTTACACATGAAGCCTGAATAAGAGCTATGTGCTATATAAACCCCCCCTTTGCTCCCCACTCCCCTCAGATGCCTGTGAGGCAGATTTAGGTGGTATAATAAGTATGGCAACCTTAGGACCAAATTTGATTTAAGGACCAGTACCGTTTGACTTTAGGATGGTTTGCGGCCATGGCCTCTGGGTGCGTGGCACAGCAGGTGCTGGGGCGTGGGGCCACCCACCATCCCCGGGCTTGAATGCTGACACAGGGTAGGGTGCGTCTCTATTTTGAAGTGCAGGGAAGGAGCACAGGGTTTTGGCTGGGAACAACTTGTGAAATTTTGCCAGGCCCACAGGAACGATGGCTGGAAAACCACTTGAACACAGCAGCTTTCCCTCAGCCAGTCAACGGCTCAAACCCATGGGGCACAGGAAAATGGCGGAGGCCTCCCGCAGCGCGGGGACACCCTGAGGTAATGCCCTTGCTCCTTCCCGCAGGGCTACGTGTCTTATGCACCCTGCCTACCGCTTTACACAGAAATAACTGCTTATTTCACGAAAATAAGCTTTTTTCCCCCACACTCGAGGCTTTTTGCGTGCGTTGCGCAGGCCGGCCCTCCTACTCTTTCAATTTTATTATTTATTTTCGCGCGAGCTGTGTGAGGGC